AAAGCCACCAGATTGGCTCCCTCACAGAGTTATTTTGCCAGAAAACATCGTGAAGGTACATCCCTTTTGAAAAATCCCAATAACCTCAACCGAGACAAAGGTATGCAAGTAAACTCTATTTGGCATACTGCCCTCCCGGTTTTTTAATTGACCAGCTGATCAATTAAAATACGCTGATTGGTTGGATTCAAGCCTCGTCCCCTACTCCCTAAACACCATCTACACAAAGGGGGGGAGGGGGCATATAAGGACTACCTTTACCCAAGGGAGCTCAGTATCAGAGTTCTCAGCCCTGATGATGCAAACTGCAACGTTTGCGAAACGTCGGCATATCGCTGATTCAAGACACGGCTCCATTCCGGAAGCTATATCTAGACATTATATTTTGCAATTATTTAAAAACTGGAAATACACTAGAATCCGTTAATCCACTTTTGACTTAAATGGTTTTTGTGCCGATGTGCTAATTAAAATCAACAGACAGTGTCTAATCCATGATAAAATTATGCTCCGCGATCATATCCGCTCATTAGTAATATCTGCTTGAAATTCCATAATTACATATGGTTGTTTAAATGATGAACCGGCTACATAAATATGGTAAAATGTACTATAAATTTCAACATGAATTCTTTCATTTGTATTTAGCACAAAGCTCTATATCATAATGATCCTGCTCAAAATTTGGTCCTACTAATATAATTGTTAAGTCCTTTATGTGACATAAAAAATGTAAGTGGATTTCCCAAGTTTTAAATATTCCTTTTTTAAAGCATTTAATGCTACCATGTAAATAATACATTTAAATGCAAACATTTGAATTGAGTAAAGTAATTGATAATATTTGAATTGAGTATAGAAATATAACTGCTTAACAAATGTTCTTGTTCATTTTTCAGATCTGTAACAAACGATCACAAGACAAGACTAAAGTGGTACAAATCTTCTTATCTGCCACGATCATTACACAAATGGTATTGTATTTGAAGATGTAATACTCCACGAATATAGATAACCGTTACACTAAACAGAATGTCGCAAATAACCTCGTAGGATATATTTATAAGTTATCACATGTAAACAGCAAAACAAGAAAAAGGCACAATGAAGTGGAAAAAGTTGCAAGTTTTGAAACTATTGTTAATAACATTAAGAAAGTAAGCGTTTGAATTATTTTTGTTTTATGTATGTCTTATTGATGAATATTCGTCCAAATTGTACCCAATTATACACGCATTCTAAGTAAGGTGCAATACTACATAAAAGAATTTGTATTATGTTAATTATTAAATTATGTTATATTAAACCTTCTCTGAGTAAACTTTATATAGGTACCATTAAAGGAAACTTGTATACAAGCTAAGTAAAAGATGTTTTACAATTAATATAAAATTTTATTATTCTACAGCTTTTATTATTCTACAGCTCAGTTAAATTATGAAACTGTAATAACAAATATAATGTCGAAAGAATTTATTATTTGCGTTATATTCAATTTTCCATATTACATATTTTTGTTATATACTTTTGTTATATACTCCTCTATACTTTTCTAAGTACTTCTTTAATTATAGGAGATGATAAACTATATTCCACTAAATATTATCTATCTATTATAGCGAATCACTTAATATTATGGGGAATGTAAAATTTATTAGGCTTTTTAAATTTAATTTACGGTAAGCCAACATTTTTTCCTTTACAATTCAAAAAGCATTGTTACTCTGATATTTCCACATCAGAATATTTATTCTTAATTAAGGTAGCATATACTGTTAATGCATTGTGTGATCGTGTTGCAAAGCTCATAAATTTTAATTTTCCGTATTTATTACGCAAATGAAGTGTGCAAGAATATACACTAGATTTTAACACGTTTTAACACAATTTTGAATAATCCAAATATGCATTGTTTTTACTGTAATATTTGTATCCTATCTTTAAAATTATATTTTTAAACTATTACTTTCCTACTTAAATTAAACGTACTATTAAGAAGTTTCTAGGTATCTAATATATTCGTTCATTAATATCAGTGACTATTAAATAAAAACATCGCAAGTACAATAAAAAGTGCCTTTTATTAAAAATATTTATAATTCGTTTGTACAAATAACACATATTTTATATCATATACAATAATGTTATCAACGTAATGCTAAAATCATATACAAATATTCCAAATCGTTTAGAAAGGTCTCTATAAAACACGTGTGTTACGATAGACAGTTACATAATCATTACGAAAATATACAGAACCAGTCTCCAAATCCCTCCACGGTCTCCAAGATCTAAAAGGATTTTTAGCATTATGGAGAGGTTCTAAATGCGAACCTAAAATTTGTTTTAAAATAGACACGTTCTGTTCTGCTTTTTCTTCCGATGTGGTAGTTAAAATTAACGGACAGTCTCTAATCCGTGATAAAAATATGCTTCGCGAACATGTCCACTCATTATTAAAATCTGCTTGAAATTCTATAATTATATTTGGTTCTTTAAAAGATGGACCGGCCACATACATATGGTAAAATGTACTATAAATTTCAACATGAAGCACTGTATTCCTCTTCTTGCAGTAATAACAAAGTTCCATGTCATAATAATTCTGCTCAAGATTTGGTCCTACTAGTATAATTGTTAGTTCCCTTACGTCACGTAAGAGATGTACAAATATTTCCCAAGCATTTATATACTCTTTTTCTAAGGAATTTAGTGCTACCACGTGAATAACGTATTTAAA